ACCCTAAACCCTAAACCCTAAACCCTAAACGCTAAACCCTTGCTTAGCCCGCGCTCCGCTGCGGTTTGGGGTGCTGCGTCAGAGCCCAACCCGAAGTCAATTCTTGAGCCTGGAGCGCAGTCCCATACCTCTAAGCCCTAAACCCCAAACCCTAAACCCCAAACCCTAGCCCACCGGCAGCCACATGCTCTGCAAAGTTTGCAGGGTGCTCCTCAAGCTGCAGAGCCCAGAAGGCTTCTGCAGCCACCGCAGCAAAACAACAGCAGGTGAGTGGGGCTGTGGGGCGGCAAGAGTCTCTGCTGCTGCTCCTGCTGCTCGTGCTGCTGCTGCTGCTGCTGCTACTGCTGCTGCGCGGCTTCTGCTGCTGGGGCCGCGTGTGCAGCAGCTGCTGCCCCTGCTGCGCCTACCCCGCTTAAAGGCCAACTACATGGGACATTTTAGGCCAACTAAATGGGACTTTGTTTCTTTTATTTCTTTTTTCTGTTTTTTGGGCTTTTTTCGACTTTTCTGCAGCAAAAAGACCCACCGCGAGTGTAGGCTTTCATTTGGCTGAGCTGCGGGCTCTGAAGCGAAGGCAGGGCTGCGCGCCGTACGTACACCCCAACGCAGCAGCAGCAGCTGCAGCAGCAGTAAGTTCGGCGGCAACAGATGCAGCAGCAGCAGGCGGAGCAGCAGCAACGGGAGCAGCAGCTGCTGCTGCTGCTGCACCCCTTAGCAGCGAAAAAGAGGAAAAGAGAGCACACCCAAACAGATGAACAGAGAGAAGGAACAAAGGAAGAAATCTAGACAGAAGCTGAGAAGCAAAATACATGCATGCATCTGTAGCCTGGCAGCCAGCAGCAGCAGCAAACAGCCAGCAGCAGCAGAAGGCAGTCAGCAGCGCGGGCACAGCAGCAAGTGCGTAGTGGGGCTCCCACGGTGTACACACAAGGGCCTCTGAAACTTCGCTTCAGACCCCACACCTCTACAGCCATTGGAGCTGCAGCAGCAGCAGCAGCAGCTAGCTGCAGCAGCAGCAGCAGCAGCTAGCTGCAGCAGCTAGCTGCAGCAGCTACTTGCAGCAGCTAGCCGCAGCAACAGCGGCTGGCTGCCGCCTGCCTTGCTGCTGTGGCAGCTACTGCTGCTGCTGCTGCTGCCTGGCTGCGAAGTCCGTTTCGAAGGCCATTCAATTTGCTGCTGCGTCCAAACCCACCCCCCACTATTTCGTCCACCGCCGGAAACAGCAGCGCGCAGCGGTCGTCTCCAGGAAGTCTTTCCAAAGGCAAAATCGAAAGACACGGCTGCGCCAGGTGTACGTACACCCCACAAGAGCAGCAAAGTGGGCAGACACGGCTGCGCCAGGTGTACGTACACCCCACACGAGCAGCAGCGGCTTCAGGTGTATGTACAAGCCACGCAAAAGATGACACAGCGGCACAGACGCAGACCCAGCATCCCCTAGGAAGCTGCAGCAGCAGCAGCAGCAGCAGGTGTGGCAGCAACACGTACATAATCCACAGAATATATATATGTATACATATACATAGAGTAAATTTGCGCCAAGACGGGTTGCTGTACGTCTTGAAAGAAGGCAGCAACAGCAGCAACAGCAGCAGCAGCAATAGCAGTAGCAGCAGCAGCAGCAGCAACTAACCGCCCAGAAGTTTGCGTCGTGAAAGCGGGCGATCGCGTAGGCCCAAAGAACATCACAGAGTTCTGGAAAGATAAAACAAAAGGAAAGAAATAAATGAAGCAGCAAAAGCAGAAAAGCGGGAAAGGCTAATCAGTTGAGGTGTACGTACACTTCAGAACATGCACAAACACTCGAAGAAAGCATCCAGGAAGGCAAAAGTGGAGCAGCAAAACAAATAAACCCAAACTTTAAATATTTAAATTGAAACGAAAAGCTAATAAAATAATTTACTTAGTAAATGGCCAGCGACATGCTGCAGCGCCTGAAGCAGCAAAAGTGAGGGCGCAGCAGCGAGACAAAAAAATGAAAAGAAAACAAAAAGAGACTAAAAGATATTAAAAGATATTAAAAAATATCAAAGAAGATTAAAAGAGATTAAAAGTTTGAAAGTGATAAAGAGTGATTAAAGGAGATTAAAAGAGATGTAAAGAGGCAAAAAAAGAAAGGAAGAAAAGAACAAATAAAAAAGGAAAAGAAAAAAGAAAAGACAGAACGAAAAAGAGAAAAAACAAAAATGAATAATAAAGACGAATAAACGGCGAATAAAGAGAAAAGAAAAAATAAAAAGAATATAAAAAAGCAAAAGGAAAAAAGAGAAAAAAGAGAAAAAAGAAAAAAAAAGAACAAAAAAGACATAAAAGAAAAGAAACAGCAAACCTGGAACGGAGAATTGCTGCAGCCGCTCCAAGACGCAAAACTGCAGGCTTGCAAACAAATGGCTGCTGCCCCGAAGCAGCCCTGAACAGCAGTAGCAGCAGCAGCAGCAGCAGTAGCAGCAACAGTAGGAAGCACAGCAGCAACACCAGTGGACGCGGCAGCGGCCGTAACAGCCCTGCAGCAGCTGTGGCTGCAGCGCCGCTGCAGCAGCAGCAGCACCCTCGCCAGCTGCTGCTAATTCGCAGCTCCTTTAGCTGAGCCACCACCTGCCCCCAAGTTGGAAACCCTAAACCCTAAACCCCAAACCCTAAACCCTAAACCCTAAACCCTAAACCCGTGTCACCACGAGCTTACCAAAGCAGTAAAGGATTTGAGCCAGCTGCGTAGCGCTGAAGGTCTCTGCTGCGTCTGCTGCTGCATACAGCAGCCGTTGCTGCAGCAGCGGGGCCCCACATGTAAGCGCCAAGGCAGTGGCCTGTGGGGTGCAGCAGCAGCAGCAGCAGCAGCAGCAGCAAGCGTAGAAGCTGAAGCGCCCTCGCTGCTGCTGCTCAGCGGACGCAGCAGCACTGCAGCGGCCCTCCCAAACCGCCGATTTAGAGTGTAGGGTTTAGGGTTTACGTTTAAGGGTCTCGGGTTTGGAGTTTAGGGTTTAGGGTTTGCGTTTTAAGGTCTGGGGTTTAGAGTTTATGGTTTTGAGGCAACAAAACATGCAGCAGCAATAAATGCACCGGCAGAAAACCACAGGAGACAGAGAGGACCAGCAACAGAGACAGCAGCAGCAGCAGCAGCAGCGGCAGCAGCGGCAGCAGCAACAGCAACTCCTCGCATTCATGCAGCGGACAAAATTCAAGGAAACAAAACAGCAGCAAAAGTAACGATTAAAAGTAAAGGCAAGGACGGGAATCATGGGGCCACAGAAGGACAAAGAAACAAGCAAACAACAAATAAAAAAACGACAAATAAAAAATGAATAAATAAATAATAAATAAATAATAATAAATAAAATATTAAACAAACAAATGCCTCTTATTGGCCCACCAGCGCCGCCATGTCTTCCCCTTGAAAGCTATAGAGGCGACGAGCAATGCGGACTGACAAGCAGCAGCAGCAGCAGCAGCAGCAGCAGCAAGGAAAACAAGATGAGGCTACAGAAGAAAAAGTTGGCCCAAGCCAGACACAAACACTAGAGGGAGACAAGCAAACGACAAGCCTAGAAGCATATTCAAAGCTGGGACCAGCAGCAGCAGCAGCAGCAGCAGCAGCAGCAGCGAACTCTGCCGTTGCAGCAGCGCTAGAAAGGCACAAGCAGCAGCAGCAGCAGCAGCACTATCTGGAGAAACAACGGCCTCTGCGGACCAGCAGCAGCAGCGGCAGTAGCAGCAGCAGGAACAGCAGGAGCAGCAGCAGCAGCAGCAGCAACAGCAGCAGCAGCAGCATTCATTCTCACGCTGGTAAGATTCTTCAAGAAAAAAAAGACTTTTTCTTTTCTCTGAAGAGCGGCCAAGAGTGGCAGCAAGGGCCAGTATGGAGTTGCAGAGGCCTGAAGCAGCGGCAAAACCCTGACCCTAAACCCTAAACCCTAAACACTAAACACTAAACCCTAAACCGTAAACCCTAAACCCTAAAATCTAAACCTAAGCTTTGAAAGCAAACCTTGAACCTTGAAGTGTAAATCCCAAATCTAAACCCTAAACCTAAACCCTGAAGCCTAAACTCTAAACCCTAAACCTAAACCCTGAACCTAACATTGAACCCCAAATCCCAAACCTTAAACCCTAAACCCCAAACCCTAAACCCTAAACCCTAGCCCCACTATGAGCCCTAAACCCGAGCGCCTCGCCCTACTCCTGCAATTTATTATTTATTAATTTATTTTATTCATTTATTTATTAATTTATTTTATTTATTTATTTATTTATTTGTTGCTGCTGCGGCAGCTTACCCTGGTTGCTCATGCGGGCAAATGTGGCTTCCACGCGCTGCTGCAGCGCCTCGAGAAGTGCTGTGGGCGGCACCCACGGCTCCTCCTTATCGCCTGCTGCTGCTGCTGCTGCTGGTGCTGGTGCTGCTGCTGCTGCTGCTGCAGAGAGGCGGAGGGGCGCTGCTGCAGCTTGCCCGCAGCGGCGCCTGTGGGGCCGAATGCAGCGGCTGATGGCCCACAAGACAGTTGCAGTTTGGCGCGCGTCGAATGAGTGCGCTGCTGCCAGCAGCCGGCCTGAGAGCAGCAGCAGCAGCAGAAGCAGCAGCACCAGCAGCAAGGGCAGCAGCAGAAGGCGCCGCATTAGCAGCAAGTGCAGCGGCAGCAGATGCAGCACTGGCAGCAAAAGCAGCAGCTGCTGCTGCTGAAACGGGAGATAAGGAGCAGCAGCAGCAGCAGCAAAGGCGGCAGCAGCAGCTGCAGCAGCAAAGTCGGCAACATCTTCTCCGGGAGGCCTCGGCCACGAGAATCGCGGGCTCTGTGGGGCTTTAATAGGTGGGGCATGAGACCAGCTACAACAAGATTAGTCACGAGAAAGCAGCAGCAGCAGCACCACCAGCCACAAGGTCAGCAGCAACAGCAGCAGCAGCAGCAGCAAGAGCAGCAGCAGCGCTTGCTTCGCCTATTCGCCGTGGCTCACCTTCTGCCTGTTTGAAGAGTCGGTCCAGCTGCGCCTGCGAAAGACAGTGCAAAAGAGCTAACTAGCAGCCTCTGGCAGCAGCAGCAGCAACAGCAGTAGCAGCAACAGCAGCAGCAGCACAGAGCCACAACAAGACCAGTTTAGCGGCCTCACCTCGCAAGTTGCAGCCGCCCATATGCACCGAAGCAACCCTGCCAAACAACGGCAAACGCAGCAGCAGCAGCAGCAGCAGTAGCAGCAGCAGCTTTGATTACTGTTGCTGCGCAGCACGCAGGCTGTTGGCCCTCTGAACGTGTGCTGCTGCCGCTGTTCCCTCCATTTCCTCTTCTTTTTGAGGTTCAGTTATGCATTTAATTATTATTCTAAATTCATTTAGTGAGACACAAAAGCAGCAGCACTTGCTGCAGACCGTTGCAGCAGCAAATGCAGCCCCTGCAGCCCACTGCGGCTGCTGCAGGGCCCCTGTGGGGCGCAGCAGCAAGCTCGCCAGGCTGGCAGCAGCAGCAGTAGCAGCAGCAGCAGCAGCAAGTGCATACGTTTTCGACTCTCTTTTTCAGAATTCAAGCTCTCGAGGAGTTCTATCTCATCAAAAAAAGGAATAAGTGCACTTAATAAAAAATTATTTATTTTAAATTCTTTTTTTCTTTTCTTCAGAATTTCATAGACCGCCAAAAGGGCAAAACAAACACAAGGGCGCAGCTATTTGCATTTGTTTGCACTTTTTGTGTTTTGGAATTAATAAATACAAATTAGTGCGAATAAAATATAAATATATATAAATAAATATAAATAAATGAATAAAATTAAATTAAATAAAAGAGTTATCGAGAAATGAAGAGAAATTTGAAGAAATGCAAAAACGGTGCATGCATGGCTGCTGTCTGTACACTGCAGCAAATGGCTCTTATGAATTTTAATTTTTAATTCAGTTTTTTAATTTTTTTTTGATAATTCAAGACTCGGCCTTTTAGCCATTGTCTCACCGCTGAGGCCAATCTGCTCCACTGCGTGCTGCTGCTGCTGCTGCTGCTGCTGCTGCTGGTCGTGCAGCTGCTGCTGCTCCTGGTCGTGCGGCTGCTGCTGCAGCAGCTGCCGCAGCAGCAGAGCAGCCACGGGGTGGCCCTCGACTCCAGCCTTGGCAGCAGCAAAAGCAACCAGCGAAAGCTGCTCTGCAGCAACAGCAGCAGCAAAAGAGTTCCTCCGCTAGTAGCAGCAAACAACATGGCATTCATGTATAGACATAGTTCGCCACTTTATACTTATTTATATTTATATTTATATTTATATTTATATTTATATTTATATTTATATTTATACGTATATTTATATTTATATGCATATTTATATATATATTTATTCTTGAAATAACTCAAACAGCAGCGAAAGAACAGCAAGAGGGCAGCACAAGAGCAGCAGCAGCAAAAGCGCAGCAAAACGGCAGCAGCACAGCAGCAGCACAGCAGCAGGAGCGCAGCAGCAGCAGCCCAAGGGTCCTCCCACTTGGAGTTAAGGAGTCCAGGCGCCGCAAAATGTGGGGAATAAGTGCTGCACACAGGCAAACAGCAAAAGCAGCAGCAGCAGCAGCGGCAGTTGCTGCTGCTGCTGCACTTGCAGCAGTGGCCTT